GATACAGTAAAAGGACATGTCAGAGTGGGGAAAACAGGGGACAATGTACAGTATGTAGATACATTTAAATCTGCATATTTAAATACAGATTATGTTTTTAACATTCTGTACATTACCAACATTTTTGGTATGTTTTCTCAGCTGTAAATTAGCAACTGCCTGCTAGCCGCCAAATTAGCAAGATGTGATTAATAGAGTCCTTTTGTCCATAAAATGGTTTTGTATTCCTAAGTACACCAGACATATCATACATGTTTACTGTACAATAATGGGCTGTCTTATGTTCTTATGCATCAAACATACTATACGTAAATAACAACAATACAATAAAAGGTGTCTTTATGTTTATATATCATATATATGTTTTTACATACACCTCACCTACTGTTCATATACTAACTAGTATATATATGGCCTTAACTACACAACATATACTGTAAATTCAATCACCAGTATATGCACCACACATATTGTATATAAAATAAAAGGCCTTCTTACACCACACATACTGTAATAATAACAGGCTTAATTGCTTTGTTTTTCCTTTCACTGCTTTCAAGAGAAAGATTAGTGGACTCATGCTTGGCAGAAATTTGAAAAATAAACCATAATCTGAGCAGGTGTCTGTTTCCACGGAAACCTCTGCTTTTTTTCACTTGTATCAGTGAACAACCTTTTTTATATGTTGGAATACTACCAGTGTGTAAGTGTGAAAATATAGGACTATGTATGTATTTATATTCTGACATCCAAGCATTTCAAAAGGAACTAGACATCTTTAAAATGCATGATAATATGTATTAGATTAGACATAATAATGAGAAAATGATTAACTTTTCTGACTCTGCTGTTTATCGAGGGGACTATCATGCTCTTACTTATTTTTACTTTGAATATTTCATATATGGTATATGGAGAATGTAAATTGTTGTGATTTGGGACTTTTAAAGACAAGTAGAAAAGTTAATGATGTCTTAAGGCATGTCACTATGACGAATACTATGATATTGCCATAGTGTTCTTTTGTGTTTGTAAGGACTCTAAGTACTACTTATATAAAAATAATCAGAGTGAAATACTGCAGTTATCTGTATTGATGTCTGCTTAACAGATTAGCCATGTATGCCTTAAAATAATGACAGATGTTCCAGATCTATTTCACTGGAATAGTTTCTCCAAAGCTTGGCTGCAATCTATTTTCAGATAAAAGCACATTGAATAGTGATTCATTTAAATTGTTTCTTTTATGGTAAAAAAAATAACAAGAAAAAGAAAAATGCTATTTTTAACTGTGGTTTTGATTTTTAAATTGAATCTGATATTTTAAAAGGGAGAGACTTACTCTTAACATTTTTGAATAGTAAACAGCACCTCCTACTGTTTAAATCTGCATGCCATCGATGACAGTCTGGGGATGTAATGCAAAGAAATGTTAACAATAATTCCTTACTTATATAGCAATCTCCTGGACACTCCACTCAAAGCGCTCTACAGGTAATGGGGACTCCCCTCCACCACCACCAGTGTGCAGCATCCACCTGGATGATGCGATGGCAGCAAAGTGTTCACAGTACACTCACCACACACCAGCTATCAGTGAGAAGGAGTGATGAAGTCAATTCATAGATGGGGATTATTAGGAGGTCATGATTTGTAAAGGCCAGGGGGAAATTCGCCTAGGGAAATATTCTACTCAAAGAGATATTTTTTTTTAACTTTTTTGTTGTACATTTTGTAGCAAGCATTGTCTTCATGGTGTCTAATTAATTGACCACTGAAAAAGTGTCTGAGATGTCTGAGAAAATATCCATCTACCCATTTTCTAACTGTTTTGTCCAGTACATGGGAGACAGAGCCTATCCCAGCAAGCAACAGGCACAAGGCAGGATACACCCTGGAGAGGACATCAGTCCATTGCAGGGCAGACAGACCCTAACACAGACATGCAGACACTCACCCAGGAGCAAAATTTGTAAGAAGCCAATAACCCTACCAGCACGTCTCTGGACTGTGGGCAGAAAACCCACATCACCACAGGGAGAAAATACAAACTCCACACCAAAAACCCAAGGCTCCAGCACAGGAAAGCAGCAATGCTAACCTCTACACCATCATGCCACACATCACAAACAGTGTTTGAGTAAAACATTTAATAGAATAATATTAAGAAGAATAAGACCAACACGCGTTTTACAGGTAATGGGGAGTCCTTTCCACCACCACCAATGTATAGCCCCAACTGGATGATACAACGGCAGCCATAGTGCATACTCACCACACACCAGCTATCAGTGGGGAGGAAAACAGAGTGATCAATCCAGTTCAGAGATGGGGATTATTAGGAGGCCATGACTGGTAAGGGCCAATGGGAAATTTGGCCAGGACACTGGGGTTACACCCCTACTCTTATTCGAGAAACGCCCTGGGATTTTTAATGACCACAGAGAGTCAGGACCTCGGTTTTACGTCTGTTCCGAAGGATGGCGCCTGTTTACAGTATAGTGTCCCCATCACTATACTGGGGCATTAGGACCCACACAGACCACAGAGTGAGCGCTCCCTGCTGGCCCCACTAACACCTATTCCAGCAGCAACCTTAGTTTTTCCCAGGAGGTCTCCCATCCAGGTACTGACCAGACTCACACCTGCTGAGCTTCAGTGGATTGTCATTTGTGAGTTGCAGGTAAGCATGAAGAAAACCAGGTGAAAGTGCAGAGAAACAGAGGAATTTCAAGTCATATATGCCATGTCTTGAATGTAATATTAATATACTGCAGGTATTTATAAAGATGCTATTTAAAATAATACCTATAAGAGACTATTTTAAAGTGTATGAAATTAGAAACTCTCATTCTCAAAAGAACATACTGTAGGAAGAAGATAAAAGATTCTCAATTACAAAGTACTGGAAGTCGAGGTCATATGCGTATCTGAGCCAATAAATTCCCAGGTGATCTACAAATCCTGAAATTTACGTCCCAGACTTGGAATGTGAAATTTCCAAATCCCAAGATTCAAAATGACTTCTAATAAAATAGGCTGTAGATAATGATGCTTGTAAATGCTACTGCTACTACTTAGAATAATAAAAAAAATGGTAATGACCTTTATTCTTATGGGTGTGGAAGATGTTGCAGTTTCAGGAGAAAATCTTAGAAATCTTAGAGTCTTATAAATCTTAGAAAAGAGCTGTGATGATACCACAGCAAATATGTGCCCTATCTCAGATATATTTTCTAAATGCTAATGTTCTCACTCTGATATCACCCATGCCAAAGAGATGAGACCAAGAATTGATCTTCACTACAGCTTAACTTCAAGAAAGTGCACCACACATCGTATGTGTTGTCCTGCAGGAATAAAAGGATGTGAAGGATTTGGTCAGGGATTCTCTAGAGAGACTCCACAGGATCACAGGTACACGTTATTCTTTGAAGGCTTCAGGTTTCAGATGTTGGATTCTGAAAGTCAATCCTGGGTGAGACTCAACAACAACTTCACAGATAGCTTCAGCTTGCCATCATGGAGTCTGGAATGTCACAACACTGACTTTGACCTGGGGGCAGACTTTTCCATTATTTGTCCATAATGGGTCTCTGCTGTCCACAAAGAAACATTTCAATTCATCCTGGTAGGCCGACAATAATATATCACATTAAATGGATCATTGTCTGAACTGTTACAGCATTTCATGATGAAACAACTTGACAAAAATAACTGAAGGACACAAAAAATGATGTTCAGCTTTGCTTCAAACACAACAAGAAATTTGTTCCATATTTGTCATATTTCTTAGAATGATTAATAGAATTCTCATATTCTGCTGCCATTAAATGTCAGTAGGTGCATGTGCATTTCAAAATACTTTGATTTTAAAGCTGTAGAGAAATATTTGTTTCACAGAGGCTGATACGCAGATACTTTTCATGTGTTATTTTACAAATTGTATACATGATTAAACTGGAACAAAAACTAATTTTAATGCATTTTTCACTTTTTATGCCCTGGTATATTAGGCTTCTGGTTAGCATGTACAAAATATAGACTGTTACACATATACGTTTACTTACATACATGAACACAAAATTGGATTCTAAAATTGAACAGGTGGCGAGAGAGACTTTGCACTGGTAGGGATGCTATAAAATGGTTATTCCGTCGCTTCTCTTTTTTTTCAGACACTTTCTGCTTGCTGGAATGGAAATCCCAATAGTTAACAGTTGGATTATGCCACTAGAAGAAGCCTAGTGCATCACTTCACTTTTGTTGAGAGACTTGCTCCTTATTCATTGCAGTATAAGAGCGTTTAAAATTACACTGTAATTCAACACCTGAGCGCATTATTCTGCTGTGGTGATGAGCCTGTATGTGTTAAATGCAATCCAAGTAAAGACTTCCGTAAACCTATCGATTCTGCAAAAGTGTATCTTCCCTCTTCTGGAGGATATTTCACAGACACGAGAATAGGTAGGAACAGAACAAAAATATTGTATATAAAACACCCATTTCTTTAAAGCCTGCATTTTATTTCAACGTGATATAAAAGTACTGCTCTGTATTATAACTGGATTTTATACTTCATACTTGTATAATAAAGTAGTCTTCTTTGACTACTTTATTATCATGCCATTTCGATAAGACCTTAATGAACTCTTACTTTGTTAATCCTTTGAGCTTTGGGATAATTGTCATTGATAAGTGTAATTGATTTGACAGTTCCTCTTTCCGTTCAAATTCATTCATCATAGAATAAAAAAATCCCAGAACTACTGCTGTATTTTTTAAATCTGTATAGGATATTACAGGACATTGTGAAGTTACATTGAAATGCTAAGTCGTGGCTTCAGTTTTTTTTAATAAGAGGTAATGCTTGCCAGTAAATTATATAGATTAAAATCGATCCCATCAATGTGATAACGACCACCACCTAGCGTGCTGTCTCAGTAGTGCATTGCAATTCATGGAAAAAAAGGATAGTAAGTTGGGGCGTCGTCTTTACATTACAGTGACCAATCGGAGTTCTGGCAGAAACTTTGTAAACAACGGAGTTGCACGCTGTCTTTTAACAGCTAAAACAAAGCGAATAGAGTATCACAGGGATCGTCCGGAAGTCGAAGGAGCGTTAAGGTAAGTCCATGTGTTGGATTCTCTCACGTTTCTGTAAGTTAAGGTCTTGCGTGCGATCTACAAAGGCAACACGCGTAACAGTAGCTGCCTGGTGTCTCATGTTATTCTCCGCTCAAGAGCACGTATTGTGATGTTGGCAGACATCCGGGACGTTCCGTGATGAAAAAGAAGTAAACGTTTAGACCAGAAAGTCTGGCTTCAGTGGAAAAAAAAAAACTAGTTTCCACCAAAGGTTCTTGACTGCAGAATGCATATAGTCTTATTTGAATGCTTTGGTTTTTTTTCTTCCACAGTAATATCGGACCTTTCGTTACTAAGTTACAACCTTAACCATAGCCAGCAAGTGGTGTTGCGCAATTTGTTTTGGCGCTTGGGCATTTAAATCGCTGTGCGCCGAAGCGACTGTCCTCGCTTGTCTACCTGTCATTTGTCTTTTTATAGAACCTTGTTTAAAAGTAGGAAACTTCACATTCAGACGGTGTTGCTTCCTAAAAATGCGCAAATCGACAAAGCCAAATCCTTAATGTAGTTGTCTTTCCGGCGTTGTAACATATAGCTATGAAAACAGGTTTACAGCTTAATGTTGATTTATGCACCGACAGTTTATTGGTGTTTCATATCTTCATCTCCATCATCCGTATTATAAAACCTTCAATTAAAAACGTGCATCCTAGTCACTGTAGCTAAATATAATTAGAATCCCGAATCCGAAATATTAAAAAAATATGGAAACATTAAATAATTGTGAAACTCGAGATGTTTTATAACTTTCGTCAGATTTTTTTTGTAAAATTGTTGAAAACTACTATGCAGCCAGATTTTTTGAGCGCGCATAATTAGGTTATAGAAAAAAAATCTGTACAATTGTCGATGTTTTCTGGTTTGTATAAATGCATTGTGGTTTCCTCACTAAACTCATATTTATTTATACAGATGCTTTATATTTAGTTATCGAATGAGTGACATTAAGAGGTCATGAACTGATCGTGTCTTTTTTCATTTTCAGTATATATGGTGCTGTACATAAATGGCTGTGATAAAGAAAATAAAAATTCAGCTTACAAGCATTTTAGTATGTAGCTTTAGTGGTATTAATAGAATATGGAAATGGTGTAGTTATAACAGCACATATTTTACTTTTAGTTGACTGGGTTTTCCATTCAAAGCAAAAATGAACTCACAATGTAACTTTGTGAATTTATTTATTCTGCTATGGAAGCTCCTGTTTTATTCTGGGATACTCTTTCCTCCCTGAACCAAACAAATTGTATTTTGAGTTGTCTAATCAAATAACTGCTGTTAGTCTGTATTCTACAGTATATGCAGTTTTGGGGAAAAGTTGTGTTTTTCATCTCGTAATAATGTTTTTCTAGCCACACAGCCTTTATTTTCTTTCTTTTAAAAAAAATGTATCACACTGGACCTATTCACTCCCTAAAGCAAAGGTTTCAAATATCTTGTCTATGCAAGTGTGATAGGTGTTCTAGGCATTTGAAAGTTTCTGTGGTTTAATACATTCAGAGAGGGATTGAATCATTCCAGTTCCACTTTACATAGGCTAGTGTTACTTATTTTTCATTTTTTGTCAGATGTGGATGGTTTAAAAAAAAAAACAAGACACCCTGTTGGATTACCAAAGTAGGGAGACTGACTGCTTAATAGTATAGCCCAGTGTCTATCATTCAAGGGTTCAAGACCCCCTGTGGTTTCTCAGAAACAATAAACCTTTGCAAGTGTGGAAAATCACATTCTTACACCAGAGATCTGCTGGAAAAGTACTAATCGTAGATCTAGTGACCTGTAGATCTTTTGATATGTTCTATCCATACTAAAAATGGAACACTCAGAGAATAATGGTACTCTTGCTCTTTTCTTAATAATAATAATAATAATAATAATAATAATAATAATTGCTTACACTTATATAGCGCTTTTCTGAACATTCTCCTCCACCACCACCAATGTGCAGCCCCACCTGGATAATGCGATGGCAGCCATACTGCATACTCACCACACACCAGCTATCAGTGGGGAGGAGAGCAGAGTGATGAAGCCAATTCATAGAGGGGGATTATTAGGAGGCCATGATTGGTAAGGGCCAATGGAAAATTTGTACCAGGGTTACACCTCTACTCTTTTCGAGAAATGCCCTGGGATTTTTAATGACCACAGAGAGTCAGAACCTAGATTTTATGTCTCATCCAAAGGACGGCACCTTTTTACAGTATAGTGTCCCCCTCACCATACTGGGGCATTAGGACCCACACAGACTGCAGAGTGAGCGCCCCCTGCTGGCCCCACTAACACCTCTTCCAGCAGCAACCTTAGTTTTTCCCAGGAGTTCTCCCATTCAGGTACTGGCCAGGATCACACCTACTTAGCTTCTGTGGGGTGCCAGTTCTGAGTTGCAGAGTGATATGGCTGTTGTAGCACTATGTGAGTCCTAAAGGAAGCCTATAAATACACAGTATGTGGACAGTCCAGGAGAACAGCAAATGGGATTAATGTTAAAAGGAACTGGTGCACATATTGTTAAATATGATTGAGTCAAAAGTTTTTTTTATCTCAGATGCTGTTGGGACTCTAAATATATTATTGATTCTCCAAACTCTGAAATGAACATAGAACCAGACACGAGGATACTACACTTGGATACACGAGGTAATAACAAATAATGATTTTACATTACTTCAATTGGCAGTGATAGCTTGATGTTTGGTGGTGATAATTCTTGTTGGAAATCTCTATAGAAATATCTTTCATACCTATATGATGGTGATATAACATACTTTGATTATCCTAAATAATCTATAAGTAGAGACATCACACAAATGCTGCAGTCAGTGTTCCATATACAGTAAATATGGAGTTATTACATTTGCAACAAACAGGTATTGAGAATTAATCATTTTTGTTTTTAATGCCTCTCAATATATATGTTTTGTATGATAAGAGTATACATTTTATGATAAACCATCCATTACAATGGATTCAGTACTGGAAAAAATGGGGACAAGTTCAAAATATATGGATTTACTTTTGGTTCCAAGTGAATTCTGTCTTCTATGACAAGCCAACTTACCTGAAAATTATGTAGAGATATTTGTAAAACAATTAGTCCTTTTAGAGATGTATTTAGTTGGGGGCGGAGCTCTGTGTCTAAGGATCTGCGGCCGTGGCTGGAAGGTTGCCAGTTCAAATCCCGCTGCCAGCAGAGGAATCCTACCCCGTTGGGCCCCTGAGCAAGACCCTTAACCCCAACTGCTCCAGGGGCGCCGTACAATGACTGACCCTGTGCTCTGACCCCAGGCTCTCTCCCTGTCCGTGTGTCTGTGTGTCTCATGGAGAGCAAGCTGGGGTATGTGAAAAGACAAATTCCTAATGCAAGAAATTGTATATGGCTAATAAAGTGATGCTAACATTGTTTGACATGAACCAAGCATGGTGTGCGTGTGTGAACCAGCCCCAGGGTGAAGGCCATTGGAACCATCTATACAACTGTAAAAAATACCATGTCTGTACCATTTCCATCCATACCAGATTAGTAAATATAAATATAGTAATTTAAAATGTCTTATGCACTATATCTATAGTACCATACTTAGAGAAGATGGGTGGTACAGTGGCACAGTGGTTTGTATTGCTGCCTCACAGCACTGGGGCCTTGGGTTCAATTTCGGACCTAGGGTGCTAACTGTGTGGAGTTTGTGTGTTCACCCTGTGTTCGCGTGGGTTCCTTCCAGGTGGTTCAGTTTCCTCCCATAGTCCGGATATCTACTGGTAGGTTAATTGGCTTCTGGGAATGTAAGCTCTGGTGTCAGTGTGTGCCTGTGTTTGCCCTGCGGTGGACTGGCATCCTGTCCAAAAGTACTCTGCCTTGTGCCCATTGCAGGCAAGGATAGGCTCCGTCTTCCCCTGAATTGGAAAAAGTGGTTAGAAAATGGAGGTACGGTACTTATAGAACAAGTGAAACTTGCAACCATTGTGTTATCGGCTTATAACATACTATCTCACTTAAATGAGCAAATGAGTAAATACTGAGGGGCCCATCAATACTCACAGAAACTGTTTTCCTTGTTTGAATCATCCAGATGCATCTGATAAGATGACAACCTTCTGGGGCAAGTGGACGCTCTTTGTAAGTCAGATCAAGTAGAAGGTGGAATGACGTACCTTACAGAGCTTATTGAATACTTTGTTCCTTAAGTTGCAACTATTCAGTACCTTGCCATCCATCCATGTTTTTGATCTTCTGTTTACAAGTGACTGAAGCACGTCCAGTGATTCTCAATACTCAGAGTGTTTTTCTTGCCACAGATAACCGACGGGCAACTTGCACATTACGCCCAAGCTGAAATGTTGCTCCATTTCCATCACGACAGACTTCTCTGGTACTTTTGGGTTGTCTCTGGATTGTCTCTTTGTTGTAAACCCTTATTCACTTTTGCCAGAATTATTACATTGCATGGAAGCCGAGCAGTGTCCATTGACTATCACAGAGAAGATACAGTATAGTACTTAGCCTGCTGCTGACAAGCTCTGACAGACTCTGGCAGAAACCAGAGTTTCATAGTGACAGTCTTAAAGTGCCTTCAGGCTAGATCAATAGCTGGTTTCTGATACAACGGAGAAAACAAATATACAACATCGCTGTCATACTTTGAATCTTCAATGATTAGTAAAAGAATGATGCAGATATTGTACCATTCTGTGTCACCAGGGCATTTCTGTTTGTAATTGGGGATTTTCCATTCTAAGGATTCATTTACTTTATGATCAAGAAAACGTTTTTTGAGCAGTCATGCTTCAGGGAAAAAAAAATGCCAGTCACTGTGCACTCAAACCACTAAATCTGGATGTATAGAAAGATATTGTTTTGCACAGTTCTTAAGGCAGGCTGCCTGACTAATGACACACTTTGAAATACTAATGAAAAGTAACAATTGTAAGAACAGTGCAAGTATTTTCTTTTCCTTATACAAGCTAATTTGAGGAGATGT